CGTCGTCGTTGTTGTTGTGTTTGTTTTGTTGTTGATGTTGTTTTTGTTGTTGTGGTTGTGTTCGTTGTGGTTGTTGTTGTATGTCAATGTATATGATGGTTTTAAGTTGTGGTTTTAGTCGGTGTTGAAAATGTTAAGTTATGTGGCTACAATAAAAACAGTATAAGCGTAGAACACAACAAAAACAACAACTGCAGCAAAAAAACAACAACTGCAGCAACAACAACTCAACAACAACAGTATAAGCATGCACGACAACATGAACATTAAACATCTCAAAACAAGAAAAACCACAAATAGAACGGCAACAACAAACAAACAAACAGACAGACAAACAAACCAACGAACCTAAACATAAAGATCAACCAGCAACATTCGCATGCATAACTCATTATTTATAACTGTTTAAAATAATGTAGATAGAGCATGAAGAGCCAACGTGCACAAAAATGCGAACAAATATGCACAGAAAGATGTTGATTTCGTTGCGTGGTTGTTGTTGTTACATAACTTTTTTGTCAAGAGTCATTATTGTTGTGATTTTTATGTTGCATTTTGCTGTTGTTGTAGTGTTGTTGTATGCTGCTCTTGTAATGTTGTCGCTGATGCTGAAATGTTGTTGTTGCTGTTTTGTTGATGTAACTGTTTTTGTAATATTTAAACTGTAATTTAGTTGTTGTTGTAACGTAATTGTTATGAATGTTTAATGATGCTTTCCTGGTATTTGCACCAAACAGTGGGGCAGTTCGTTCTACGATGCATGTACATTCTACACACATGCACATACCCACACACGCACACATACACACAAACACACACACACACACAAACACTTCCTTCTCAGTGCATTTTTTACTTTTTCATCATTAACTTTAATGCAGTTATTGTCGTTGTTTATGATGAGGCTGTTTATGTTCATGTTGTTTATGTTTGTGTTGTTGCGGTTGTTGATGTTGTTGATGATGATGGCCCGTTTTCTGTAGTGCAGTTGACGATGCTGTTGTTGTTGGTGATGATGATGATGTTGTTGTTATTGTTGCCTTTTTTACTTGGTGTGGATATAAATTTAGTTGTGGATAAGTTTGTTGTGGATGTTGTTGTTGTTGTTCTTACTCTGGCATGCATGACAATGTTTCAAACATTTATGTTGTGAAAGTTGGAGAGTACACGCGTGGCAAGTTGGTTTGGTGCAATTCAATGCTTCAGATGCACTCTCACGTGCAAAAAACAAACAAACAAACAAACAAACATACATACATACATACATACATACAAACAAACAAACAAACAAACAAACAAACAAACAAACAAACAAACAAACAAACAAACAAACAAACAAACAAACAAACAAACATACATACATACATACATACATACATAAAAACAAACAAACAAACAAACATATATACATACATACATACATACATACATACATACATACATTCATACAAACAAACATACATACATACATACATACATTCATACATACATACATACATACATACATACAAACAAACAAACAAACAATTTTTTCATTTCCATGTTTGAATTAGCAGGCAGGCTTGCACTCAAGAGGAGTTTTGTTTATGAACAGCGTCAACAGCACGAAACGAAATATATTAACAATAAATTGACAGCAACATGAAAGACATCCAAAAATGTAAGTTAACTTCTTCAAACACATGTTGCCTCAGTTCTTTGTGAATTTGTGGAGGTGTTATAGGATGAAAATGTGTGGTGTTGTGTGGTGATGTGTGGTGATGTGTGGTGATGTGTGGTGTTTGTTGTGTGGTGATGTGTGGTGTATGATAGTGGTGTTATGTGATAGCAGCGGTGTGTGTTGGTGTGTGTTGGTGTGTAACGATGTGTGGGGAGATGTTGAAAATTTTTATGTGGTTTTCCACTAACTACAGACAACAACAGCCTGTCATTGGAGAGCCGACATTCAAACAATGAGATGTTCATTTCCTCAAGTTTCAACTAAACTATTAATTATATAAAAATTATATACAAACGTTCACTCCGACATTCAAACACGTTCGCACTAATGTCTGAACATACATGTTCACACCAGTTCACACAACGTTTGCACACTGGTTTTCGATAACGAACCTTAAAAAAATAAATAAATGATAATAACTGATGATGACGATGATAACAACAACAATACAAATTGTCATAATGAAAAATAACAATGATGATGATGATAATGGTGGTGATGATGATGATGACGACACTGATGATGATGATGATGATGATAATGGTGGTGATGATGATGATGATGAT